CCAACAGATTCTCCATCCATCAGAACCCCAACTTCAACTCATACCTCACCTAAATCGGTCCAAAAACGGACGAGATATGCCGGTTTTTCCTCCTCCCCGCCATATCTTTTTTTCTCCAACACCTCCATGCGCAGTCCTTTTTCCTCCTACCACCCTGCTCAACTCTCTAACAGGCAAACTAACCATTCCATCTGATTCGCCTTGCCTAAAAACCCCCGTCTAGCTTCTTCTCTCGCTCAATTTCATTAAGAAACGAGCGAGATACTTAACTTCTCGTTTTCTGCCATATCTGTTTCCACTACCTCCCGCGTAGCTCATTTTGTGCATATCATCGAAACTACCTGCTCAACTGAAAATCCGATGTTGCCATCGGATTCGCCCCCTCCCAAGACCTGAGGTTTGATTTTTACTTCACCTAAATCTGTTAGGAAACGGGGGCGCTACAAATTTTTACCTTCGCCACCATCTCCTCCCCTTCAAATCCGCCATGCCAACTCTTGAATGCACCTAGCGCTGCTTCGTGTCCAGATTCACCTTTCACCTTTTGCTACCTTGGCTTGTCGTCTTCGTCACCCCCATCATTGCGCCCTTGGATACCCCGCTTGCACCCGGTACGAGGACTGAGCCAGATTCGCCCTCTCTTTTTCCTGCCATTGCTACCTCCGCTTCTGCCTCCATAGTCGATGCCAAGCTGCGTCCTAGCCCAGGCACGACTGCGCTCGGTTTGATCCCTTCAGCCGGACTGTGGTCGCAGAGGCCGAAATTCGCTAAGGAGTGTGTATCAACTCACCTGCCGAGTCGATCAGTCCCGAAGGCCGATGGCTGCAAGCCCTTGCAGCGGGTAGGCGGGCGCGGGCCTGCTACTAGGCCTTCACTGTGGGCCTGGGTGATGCGGGTCCGGTGCAGATCTTAGTGGTAGGGACAAATATTCAGATGGGAATTTTGAAAACCGAAGTGGAGGCGAGTTCCATTTGACATGCCGCTGGGACAGCCTGCCGCACAGCCAAAACTTCGGCAGCCTCCCACCGGTGCCCCCTGCTCAGTCCCCACCTCTTGGAATAAGTAAAATAATAAAAATAAAAATAAAGATAAAAAATAAGAATAAAAATAAAAAAATAAAAATAGCAGCATTTCAACACGTGCTGCAAGCTCCCACTACCCACCTTTAGTGGAGTTCGAGCTCAGGTCTGCGTTTCAACAGTTAAGGGGATGTACCACTGAGCTAGGCCCGCAGGTGCCATTCCTACAAGCCTATTTCACACAGTCCGCTGGTGTACCAGTTGAGATAGGTCCACAGGCCTGTTCTCAACAGTTCGCGGGTGTACCAGTCTGAGCTAGGTTTGCAGGAGCTGGTCCAACAGGCCTGTTCCCAGCAGTTCATGGGGTACCACCGAGCTAGGCCCGTCGGCAGCAGTTCCCACAGACCTATTTTCAGCAGTTTGCAGGTATACCAACTGAGCTGGGTCCGCAGGTGCCGTTCCTACAAGCCTATTCAACAGTTCATGGGGGTACTACTGAGCTAGGCCCGCCGCAGCAGTTCCCACAGGCCCATTTTCAGCAGTTTGCGGGTKTWCCAACTGAGCTGGTCCGCAGCTGCTGGTCCCTCAGGCCTGCAACACCCAACCCTCTCACTTTTCGCAGCAGGCTGAGGTTAACGGGCGGTGTATCCTTTGGTCATGGTTGCCCAGGCTTCCACCACCCCGCGGGTCCTGGTGCAGATCTTGGTGGTAGTAGCAAATATTCAAATGAGAACTTTGAAGATCGAGGTGGGACAGCCTTACCGTACAGCAAAAACTGCGGCAGCCTCCCACCAGTGCCCCACTGGCCCCGCTGTAGCAATTCTTTAAATGAGAACTTTGCAGGCCGAAGTGGCCTGCTGCTGGGACGGCTTGGGCCGCGCTGCCAGCACTGCGGGAACCTTTTACCGACGCCCCTTGGCCTCGCCCAAGCATAGTTCACCACCTTGTGGGCCCCTGATGGGCATGCTCGCACTCAAAGCTGTCACAACAAACTGTGGTTGGCGGACGGTGCGCCCGCAGCGACTCCCGCCACCAAGGTTTCTTTCCTCCTCGTGGGCTAATCACCCACCGGCTCGCATGCACGTTGAACTCCTCGGTCCAAGTATCAAGACGGGTAGACAGAGGAATTCTTGCCAGCATCCAGGACACGTCGGAACCCAAGCGGGCCTGTCAAAAGAGGCGCGTGATCAAGGTCCTCGACTGCCATAATGACCACCCACGTCCGGCAAAGTAGTAGTCGAGCCAGACCCAGGTGCCCGGCGTCGGTCTCGGACCCGGTCACCGGGTCAAAGATAACCGTAAAAATAAAGTAAAATAATAAAATTAATAGAAATAAGAACAAACGCGAGGAAACAAAAAAAAGTAACGGGGCGAGGGGCCGCACGTCCCGCTGGCCTGTGACGCCGTGCACACCCAGGTCGTGCATGGTTGCCCCTCGCCATCAATACCCCGCACGCGCCGCTCACCCGGTCGAGGACTCAACTCTCACTCCGGAGTGCACCGTCAACTTCGGTCGAGGCCGCACCGGCGTGGATTACAAAAAGCACGCCAAATACCCTTGTAAGGGTATTTGGTAAGGGTATTTGGTACGACAATGGTCTTCACTGCTCGAGCGCTGGTCCCTTCTCGAATGTTCCCTTTGATCGCTCATCTTCATAATCAATCGATACTCCAATCCACACTCTCGCTACTTCCAGTTGCTAGACACCTCCTCCCTCCTCCTTAGTTACTTGTCGTAAACGACACACTAGGAGAGGAACGAGCACGCTCACTTCTCTCGGTAACGCCTCTCCAAGAGTGTTAACGTGTGCAGTCGATAGTTTGACAAATCGCAAAGTGAAAGAACACTTCAGTCAAAATTCGTCCATACGGATATACATTCGACAGGCAAAGTCATAACCATTACATCTGATCAACAGATAGGAAGAATATGGACAAGGATCGCGTCCCCGACGCGTTTCGGCGAACGCCGTCGCCTCATCAGGGGGTTTCCACCGTCGTGCCTCGCACTAGCCAAACATTCCGACATCCCACTTCCGTCCGGCGCGCATCACGACACTCCGGAATGTTCGTGACTGCGCCAGCCGTCAGCTTGAAGGGCTACATACTTTGCTTCACCGGTTAATATACAAAACAGTACGGTACCACACAGCGAAGGTGCGTACCTGCCTGTTACCTACCACAGCGTACTCTCTAAACCTACTCACCCAGGCCCACGCCCAGGATCAAAACTACTGGCCAAAGGACAAAAGTCAACCAGCGGCCCACTCACGGGTATGACTTCGGTACCCGGGCCCACAATACGCAATCGGTTCCACATACTACAACACAAATTCAACCAAAAAAATAAAATAAAATAAAATAAAAGCAACCATACACTAAAGCCCTATTCAAACTTCAAACAGCCAAATCCACCACTAGCAATCAACACTCCCTATCCATTCATCTAACAAGTCAGCCAACAAAACTCATCGTATCCTCTACTGCTTACTAAGGTAACGACAAACCCAGTCACCATGTTCACGCATGCTTACTAAAAAAAGATATGTTATGGGAAAAAATAAATTAAACAAGATTTGCCTGAGCATTACATCCGAATTCCTTACCAAATTTTGAAATAAAAATAAAATATTGCGAACAAATACTAATAATAAAAATAAATAAAAATGAAAAGAGAATTAAATTAACTTTAGTGAGTGCGTGAGCATTTTTTCGACACCTCCATCTTCGGCAATTTTTTATTATTTTTTGGCATAGCTAAATGTCCTGAAAATTTACAGATATGTACTTCACATAATACAAAACCCACTAAAAAATTTTCAAAAAATAATAAAATTGTTTAGACCCTGAACTAAAGTGAAAACAAAAAGTAAAAAGTAAAAATAACCATGGGCAAGCACATTTTGACACCGCCATCTTTGGCGATTTTAATTCTTATTTGGCTGATCCAAATAACTTGAAACTTTTATGGCATGTACCTCACGTCATAGAGCACTCACAAAAAAAAAGGCAGAAAAAAAAAAATACTTTTAGGGCCCGGAAATAATTTTTGGTGGGGGCCGAACCCCGTCGGTTTCTGACCCCGTACGGGACCCCGAACACCCGTACGTACGGGCTGGTGACCCTGTGTATATATCGTCAAATAGAACTGCCTGGTAAACCGTAGGCAGAGAGGGAGAAGAGGACAACAAACGAGGGGCTGTGTATATATATATATATATATATATATATATATATATATATATATATA